GCTGCCGCGGCCATGTAAGCATCGAAGGCCGCGTGCCACTGGTTGAACGGCATCAGCCCTTCCTAGGCCCCTGCCTCCGCGGGGCCCCCCTCGGCCCCTGGCGCTGTGCCCGACGCCCAGAAGGGCGGGAAAGCTTTCGACGCGCACCAACAGGAAGAGCTGCGCGGGCGCGCGCGGAGCGATCTCGCCTTGTGGCCCGGCGACGCGCACGGGTGGGGCACGCCCTCGCGCCGCAGCTCTGCTGCCTGAGCATCCAGCGCGTCGGAGGGGCGCCTGCGACGACGACGACCGGCGACGCGCGCGCGCGACCCGCCGGCCGCACCGCCGCTCCCGCCTGATGAATGGCCGGGCCGATCGCCACATGCTTGGCGGTCGGTTCGCGAGTGAAACGCAGCGCTTCTGCGAGGCGGGCGAGACCCCCCGCCTCGGGCGCGGGCCGCCTGTGGCCAAAGCCTCTGTTCGCGAGCCGCGTGGACCAATGCCTCGACGCATCCCGCCTGCCAGACCACGTCGGCAGGCCGCTGGCCCCGGCGCGATGGGCGCTCGCCTTTCCGGCCGAATCGGGGCCCTTCAGTCAGCCCGGCTCCTCTTCGAGCAGGTGGCTCACCTTATTCTGTTTCAGCGCCTCGGCAAAAGTCTTGCAGGAGGCATCCCCTCGCGGGACTTCGGACTCGGCCTTGGACATCCAAGCAGGGAAAAACAACTCGGCCATGATGCCCACGCGAGCTCCACAACCGTCTTTCTCGCGCTGCCCTACTTCACGCTGCGCGAACGACGCGGGCAGAACATGCTGCGACCCACGCGCGTGAAACTGCGGCCATAAATGATCCTGAGACACGCGCCGACACGCACAAAGTGCCACGCACGGACATGACCTGTCAAAAACGGGCCAGACATACGCCTCACACGCGCGGAGTTGCTGCCACCATTAAGCCGAGTGTCACACACGGGCAGAACGTGCCCACAAAGGGGCACACACACAAGCCTCACACGTGCGGAGTTGCGGCCACAACTGAAGCAAATGCAACGTGCCCAAGAGGGGCAACGCACACGCCACCCACATGCGGAGTCGCGGCCACCAATGAGCCAACACAGGGGCATGCAACGTGCCACACAGGGGCATGCACGCGCCTCGCAGGCGCGGAGCTGCGGCCAGCATTGAGCAAAGTGCAGCCTTCCAAAAAAGGGCAACACACACGCCTCACACGTGCGGAGTTGCGGCCACCATTGAGCCGAGTGCAACGTGCCACAAAGGGGCATACACACGCCTCACACGTGCGGAATTGCGGCAACAATTGAGCCAAGTGCGACGTGCCACAAATGGGCAGACATACGCCTGCAACGCGCGGAGCTGCGGCCACCATTGAGCCAAGTGCAGCCTGCCAAACAAGGGGCACGCACACGCTTCACACGCGCGGAGCTGCGGTCAACAATGAGCCAAGTGCAACGTGCCACAAAGGGGCATACACACGCCTCGCATACGCGGAGCTGCGGGCACCATTGAGCCAAGTGCAGACTGCCACAAAGGGGCAGACACACGCCTCACACGTGCGGAGCTGCGGCCACCATTGAGCCAAGTGCAACGTGCCACAAACGTTCAACACACACTCCTCACACGTGCGGAGATGCGGCCACCATTGAGCCAAATGCAGCTTGCCACAGAGGGAGACACACGCCTCATACGTGCCCAATGCATGGACGAGCGCACGACGGCGCCCGCACGCACGGCCATGGTGGGCGAACAAAAGCCGCCGAACGTGGCGGGACCCCCCCCCAGCCGAGCGCGCGTGGCGCCCAAGCATGGGGGTTGGGGTGGGGGGCGCCCGCCCCGCTGCTTCGTGCCCGCGATCAACGTTGCACGACGATCGCCCACAAAAGGTTTCGTGAGCCCCCAGGCCCCCCCAAAAAGAAACGCCTGGCCAGGCTTCCTGACCTCCAAGACCAAAGAAAAAACAGAACAACCAACGCCTGGCAATGTTTTGTAGGCTCCCATGCCAGAAAAAATGCTAACGTCTGGCCAGGTCCCCGGAGCTCTGAGACCACATCAACTAGAACAAACAACGCCTGGCCAGGTATCGTGAGCTCTCAAGGGAGGACCGGGCGAGAACCTCTCAAGCGAGGAAGGGGCGAGGAAGACGCGAGGAGAGACAGACAACTTGAACGTTCATTTCAGAAACCACCAAAAGGTAGATCTCGGGGGGGTGAGACCAACATTTTACATATGACTCGTCGTCCCCACTTTCATCTTGACAAAAACGGATTCGGCCCTTCGCGCGTGCAGCCGAAGGGACAAAAACTTTCATCTTTGAATCCGGCAGGCGCGTGCACCCTCGATCGAAACTAAAACGGTAGCGACCCAATTCGATGCACCACAATGAGCCAACACATCATGAAGACAAGCACGCAGTGCGAAGGGTGTGCAGCGCACAACCACGGCTAAGAATACGCCTCACTCCCAACGTACCAACCCAGCCTACCGACTCGGTGCAAGTCGCTCCATGCAGTTACTAGCATGCGTATCACATGGCTGCGTGCGTTGCCCCTTCTGCGCGTCACCATGACTGCAGTGAGGGCACTCTACAGCACACCGCGAATTCCACTGGTCACGATGTCTAAAGCAGTGGGTGCACGGTGATGCTCGAACTGAGGGCTCCAGAATGGAGCTGCAGTGCTCACATGTTCCACGTGCAATTTCCGTGCCCGCGGCGTTCCCATGGACCAACGTCTGCAGTGATCTCTTGACAGAAGCCCGTTCTGATCAAGGGTACTGTTGCTCGTGTGTCTGACCACCCAGTACAGTCCAGACACAAATCACCTCACGCACAGGCTCCACGACCAGTACAGAGGCAATAGCACCGACTGGTGAGCGTACTCCATCCTGCCTCCTCCATCCATGCCACCAGCCACGAGGCAGTTGGGCCTCGAGCAGCCCGATTACGTTCTCGAAGCCTGTGAAGTACTGCAGCGCGAACGCGCTGACACAATCCTGACAAGAGCAGGCGCATATCAGAAAGGAGGCCTAGTGATGACCGAAGCATGCAGTAAGACCGGTGCGGCGCCCTCCCAGTCGAGACCAGGATGGGACGCGAAAGGTCGCATCGTGCTGACAACGAAGGCAACCTCTCACCAAAATCGTTGCATTCTGCAGGGGCAAGCTCAGCGCACGCGACAGCGCAGAGCTCCACATCGATAATGGTCCGACCAGTACCGCCGCTACAGTGGACACATCTGATCCGAAATCTCGCTATGAGAACTCTTGCGGCACATTATCAGTCGATGTTTGAAGGTCCTGAGGTGCCCCAGATCTTCCGAGGATCCCTGGGCCATCTCAGGATCAGACAATTCCCTGGGGCACCCGGTGCCAGGCGGTCACTGCAATTCACTAGCTGGACGTGCCATGTGCCAACTGCAATTCACTAGCTGGACGTCACCCGTGCACGGCTGCTGCAGAGCCCTGCTTCCAGCCGCAGTGGGCAGCTGCTCGTGAATCACGAAGTGCTCGCCTGTCCCGCTCGCCCGCTCAAGCGCGACTGGGGCACCAAAACACCCCGGTGCACTGGAGGACTCCTATATGCGGTGCGAGTAGATAGGGTTGGAGGATAGCGCCGCATCTTCAATCACCGATGTATCTGCGATGCATCGACGACGTCGGCGATGCATCGGCGCCGTCGGCGTGGAGAAAATCGGGCTCCACATCGAGTCATATCGGCGATGCATCGGCGATGCGGCGCGATCCCCCGACCACATCTGCTAGGACCCCACTGAGGAGTCCTAGGTGCGTGCAGCTGCGCTTGGAGAACGTTTTGAACGATGCGCGATCACGCCCTTACTGGGGAAACCAAAAATTACCGATACCGCTACTCACCGGACCACTCCTGGGGTGCGTTCTGACCAGAATTTCGAGGCGAATCCAGCAGTGGCGACGAGGGCGTCCCAGGAGGCCCAAGAAGGGGAAAATTTGACTGGCGAAGGACCCAATCATATGCAGTTGCAAGTAACGCAGTTGTGAACATCATCTTCAGCGGAGCCCCCTATGGGGCCACAATTACCGATACCGCTACTCACCGGACCACTCCTGGGGTGCGTTCTGACCAGAATTTCGAGGCGAATCCAGCAGTGGCGACGAGGGCGTCCCAGGAGGCCCAAGAAGGGGAAAATTTGACTGGCGAAGGACCCAACCATATGCAGTTGCAAGTAACGCAGTTGTGAACATCATCTTCAGTGGAGCTCCCTATGGGGCCACGCACCATTGGAGGGGTGCGCCAAAGTGGGTGTGGGGGACACATGTGGACGGTGGCACTGGGGCCTTCGGTGGAGCTCCCTATGGGGCCACGAACCGTGCGAGGAGTGCGCCGAAGTGGGTGGCGGGGGACGCATGTGGACGGTGGCACCAGCCGGGCCACCAGTCGGGCCACCAGTCGGCCCAAGACGGCCCCAAGAAAGCCCCAAAGCTGGCCCAAGAGGGCCTCCGGAGAGACACAAGACGGCATAACAGGGCCCCTACGCCCTAGACGGCCCAAGACAGCCCCCAATGCGGCTCAACGACGGCCTAGAGAAACCAACACCGAAAAAAGCCCCAAGACAGCCAACAGGGCCCCAAGACGGCGCAGGACAGCCCCAAGATGGCCCGACGGGTCAAATGGTCCCCAGGATAGTAGGTCAAGACGTGGAGACGAGGGGTGTCGCGTAGTCGCCTTCCCGACGCTATCTGAAGCCCATCAGGTGCCATCTTGTGCGTGTGTGTTCTCACATCTTTGGCCTCCGAGGGCCCCAGTGGAGGCATCACTGAGCTGCTCTTGGGAGATTGGCGGGCTTGCCCGGAGAGTCCCAGGGGCACATTGGCAGATTGAGCTCTTGGGGCGAGGCTGGGCCGTCTTGGACTGGACCTGGCACAGTTTGCAGCCTTCTTGGGGCCGTGAATCCACGTGGTGCAGGTTAAAAATCTGGTCCACATGCCAAGCAAGCCACACTTGTGGAAACCACCCTGGTTCTGGCCTTTTCTGCACACCTACTTAGATCATGCCCACCACCATAGAAGTGTTCACACAAACCTTTGTTTGGCAAGTGTCGCGCTGTCTGGCCAGCCCCATGAATCCAATGGGAAACACCCCGCTGCTTCAAACTGCTGTAAAACAGCATGGCTCCCGCAGTGCACCAATGCGAAAACGGCCATACTTGAAATACAAACGGGACGGGAGGCGCTATGCAGCTCTCCTGGCTCTCCTGAGCATTTCACTCGGGACGAGGATGTGGCACCATATATTGAAAAGACGGTAATCACTGGATTGAGATCCTGCGCGGGATCGTGCAGACTATTCACGCCTTCCCTGCGGAAGCGGTCCCACGCGGGGCGGGCGAGGCCAAAGAGTCGTCGCTGCGCGGCCGAGCTACTCGCGTAGTGGACGGCCCGTCCAGCAGGCTGAGCGTCACCTCCGCCAGCCCCCGCAAGGCGATCCTGGGGTGCAGGAATCTCACCACACCTGCCTCGCGTCCCCACCGCCCTCTGGAGCTTGCATGGAGCGTGGAGCTTCGGACTCCCGCGACGTCCAGAGCTTCTGCGCCATGTCGGCTGCAGAGGCCGCTAAGGACGTTGAGATGACAGACGACTCACGTCGTGACACACGAGACCGAATTGCTGACGCATATCCCCAAAAATAACCTCGAGCCACCTGGAGCGGGCCCTCTGGATGGGGAGCAAGGCCTTTCTTTGTCCTGGCCAGGTTCTGGCCCCGTTCGCGAGTGGGAGCCACGCTTTGGGACAGCAGGTACCGGATGAGGGGGAAGGACAAGGAGGCCAGTTGCAATGCACGGACTTCTCTGAGGCCCCGGATCCGCCACCACTCCGTCCGCCAGGGCCACCAATCGGCGCCGTACGAGATGAGGAGCTCCTCGCCAGCGCGGATGTCCCGCGCGGCGTAGTAGCGGGTGGCGAACCTCTGGGCGAGAAGGGAGCGGTCGCAGCCTCACCCCCGAGGTGTAGGGGTGATGCGAAGAGGGGAGCAGTGCAGGCTCTGCCACCAGGCAAACTAAGTAAGGAACACGGCCCCAAGAGCGCATGGGCGCACGAGGAGTGCTGGAGGAGCAACCACGGAGGGATCTGAGGAGCAGAGCGAGGCACTCCGAACCCAGAGTGGTCCGTATTTCAGCGTCGTGCTTCGCCGGGGCCGAAAGATGGGAGAGGCAGAAGGGGAAAGGCCGAAAGAATCCACCGACCCCCGCGTAAAGGGGGCGACAAGGCGTGTGAGAGATCTGGCTGCCCCCCATCCCCTGTCTCCTCAAAAAGCAGGCCCACCAGGAATAATTAAAACTGGCACCTCCAGCCCTGCACCCCAAGAGGACACCCGAAACCTCCAGCGACTGCCCACGAAACCATCAAGACACCCCGAAACGCGTCGAGGAAACGCACAAAACGCTCCTACACAATCCGAAAACGAACCCGCAGGGCCTCACCCGTGCTCTTCTTTCTCCTGTGGGTGTCGGCGGACTTGCGTCAGCCTCTTGAATGGAGGGGGAGGGGGAGAGGGGAGGGGTGGGGAGGGGGGAGGAGGAGGAGGAGAGGAGGAGGAGGAGGAGGAGGAGGAGGAGAGGAGGAGGAGGGAGGAGGAGGGGAGGAGGAGGAGGGAGGAGGAGAGAGGAGGGGAGGAGAGGAGGAGGAGGAGGAGCAGGAGGAGAGGGAGGAGGCGGAGGACGAGAGGAAGCAAGAGGAGGAGGAGGAGAGAGGAGGAGGAGGAGGGAGGAGGAGTAAGAGTAAGAGGAGGAGTCGTAGTAGGAGAGGCACTGACTTTTTCTGCCCCCGCCCCCCCCCGCCTCTGGGCCAGAGGCCCGTCCGCCACCGTCGCGGCACAGTGCAGGACGTTGGGGCTGTCCGAGTGGTTGTAGATGCTGCCGAATCCCAGGGCGATCCGGGAGACCCTGGGGACGCCGCTGGCGTACTGGTAGTCCTCGAAGCACCTGCCGAGCTCCTGGCGACCCGGCATGTAGAGGTTCGGCACCATCTCGATCACCTTCCCAGAAGAAGCTGACCAAAGGTGAAGGAGGGGCCACAACAGCCGCCACCGCCTCCACCACCCGCCCGTCAGTCGCCCCTCGAGGCACAAGGCGACACCGCCACACATACACGCACACCAGCCTCTCGCTTGGGGGGAGGCGAGAGTGGACGGGGCGCCGAAGTCCCCACAGACGACGCCGTCGCCGTCGCCGCTTGTCGCCCAACCGACCTCCCCCTCGCCGAAGTGCCGCGTCGCGAAGACCCCGTTGCCATGCAGCGCGGAGGAGCGCACCTCTGGGGCGATGGCACACGGCAGGAAGACCTGGCACGGCAGAGGGCAGGGAGGCCCAGCCCCTTGACGCCGTGCCTGCTCTTCCCAGAGACGGCCCAGGATCTCGACCCCATCCCAGGGGCTGGCCTCCGCAGCGGGCTTCGACTTTGATCGCCACGGAGCACGGAGAGAGGCCCCGGAGCGCGAAAAATCGTCAAGCAGACGCGCACATTCATGTCGTGTCCCTCTCCTCCAGGAGCGTCGTCGTCGCCACGCCTGGATCCGCGTCGGGATTCTGGTCAGAACGCGCCCCAAGACAGGTCCACATCCCTTCCGCGAGGCCACACCGATCGTGCAAGATCCGCCGGCCAGGCGGACCGACGCGCCCCGGCCGAGCAACCAATTGTTCGTGACGCGGGCCCCAGGGGACCGAGCCTCGATCCCTTGCCCAGGGCTGGCTTTCCATACCCTGAACTATTTTTTTTGTGGACACCGGGCAAGGAAACGCTACTATCAGGCCGAAAACGTTCAAAAACCAGCCTTCACCTGGACCTGAAGTGTCCTCTCGCGACGCACGAGGCCTGGGAGCATGGACCCAGACACCCTCCGATCTATACGTGCTCTTCCTCCTCGTGCTCCTCCTCCTCCTCCTCCTCCTCCTCCTCCTCCTCCTCCTCCTCCTCCTTCTCGTCCTCCTCCCCCCGACGCGACGCACGAGGCCTCACCTCGGACCCCTGACGTCCTCCGATCTATACGTCTTTCTCCATCCACGGCCCCAGAGCTCCCGACCCCTCCCCTGGGGTTAAGTTTCGCGCCCCGGATCCACTCCTGCGGTGGGGCCCCAGGCACGGGACGCACGCGCCGACACCCAGGAGAAGCGCCCCGATAGAAAAAAAAAAAAAAAAAAAAACATCGTCTGAGATCTGGAGGACGTTTGTCTTTTGGTTCCTGCAAGTTTACTTGCATGGAGCGGGGGGGGGGCGTGGCGACGCCCGAAAGAAAATCTGGACTTCACGCGCGTCGGGATGCACTTGCACGCCTTTTCAGCCCAGCGTTATTTGAAATAGCGGCGAAGGGGGGGGGAGTGCCATGCAAGTAAACTTGCCAGAACCTTACAAAAACATCCTCCTGGGGACCCAGACTCCCCCGACGTCAAGATTTGATCATAACGTCGACCCCTAAAGACCTCGATCCAGTCCCCAGAACCAGGTTCTCATCTCGAACTGCTTCTTGACGGAGGTCGGGACCAGCGAAAATTCATCCGTCGTAATTTTTGCATGGCTTCAGGGGTCTGCGTCCTGGGGAGGGCGTCGGCGGTGGACAAGCCTCCCTGTAGTAAACCACCCTTTAGTGAAAACGGCCTGGGACCGAAACCGACGGATCTGGACCCGCAAAAATGACGGCCGCGGCGCCCTCTCGCGAACCGAAAACGGCCAATTCGCTGAGCGACGTGTCAGGGTAGGAGGTCTGTCCACCCCCGAGGGCGACCACGTCGCGAGCGCACCTCGATCCCCTCCGGGGGCGCCAGGCACTCCGGGGCCGGCGGCGACGCCGGCGCCCCCGTGGCCGGCGGCGGCCCGCCAGAACGCGCCGGGTCGGGGCAGTCCAGCAGCGCCGCCAGGGCGCCACCCAGCGCGTCCCGCGTGCCGCCGCGCGCGGAGCGGCGCGCCACGCAGAGCTCCGCGCCCGCCTCGACAGCGCGCGAGGTCGCCAGCCGCAGGTACGGCCGTGCCACGCCGCCAGCGTCCACCGACTCCTCTGGAGGAGCCAGGGAGCACATGATCAGCACAGCAGGGAAAAAAGGGGGGCCGACAGGTCTTGCACCATCCCGGGGTGCGTGGGTGACACGTGGGATTCAGCGGCCCGGAATCTGCTGGTTTGTTGCTTGTTGTTTGTTGCTGTCGTCGTCCGACCCAGCCCACGACCCACCCTGCGACGTACCCGCGACCCATCACCGCGCCACCCCTCTCACTCTTATCCGCAATTGCGGGGTGTTGCGTAAACGTTCGAAGCTCCGCGCGGGCATCCGCAAGTTTTTCCGGATAACTAACGTGTCGCGGCGGCGGCCCCGGCGACACGCTGTGCCCTGCGGGCGGATAGCGTGCTCCGCTCCACGGGGCGGGAGGCTCTGAAACGCTGGGCACGTGGACACCTCGGGACCGCGAAATGGATAGAGCGTCGCAGCGAGGCGCAGTGGGCCACAATCGGAGGAGCGACACGCTGCCCAGAAGTTCCCGGCCGTATGCCTGCACGCCGCTTTCCCGCCATTGATCCTCGTACTGCCAGGCCAGGTTCGCCCCGGGGCCGCCTTCGGAGGCGTCGTTGTACAGGAGGCCCCAGCCGAAGGGGAACAGCAGCGGCGCGTCGCCTCCGAGGCCCCGGTCGAAGAGCAGGCGCGGGAGCGCGCTGCCAGGGATCTCCGAGGGCCTCAGGGGCCGAGGGGCGCACAAGCATGTAGGCACAACTCCCGGGATTTGTTATATTTCTCCTCTTTCCTGGTTGTTCGTCTTCCCCTCCACGTCCCATATGTTCCATATTCCCCGGGGAATCGACAACCAGATATGCCTGTGTGGTTTTTCCCTCACTGGCCTCAGGGGCAGGCAGTAGCACGTCTCCACCACTTCCCCCGCGGCCATGGCACGCCTCTGCGGAGGAGGGCCAGCGGAGGCCACGGCGGCGGCTCCCCCGCCGGTCCAGACTGATGTCCGCTCCTCCTCCTCCTCCTCCTCCTCCTCCTCCTCCTCCTCCTCCTCCTCCTCCTCCTCCTCCTCCTCCTCCTCCTCTCCTCCTCCTCCTCCTCCTCCTCCTCCTCCTCCTCCTCCCCTCCTCCTCCTCCTCCTCCTCCTCCTCCTCCTCATTCATTCACCACTATTTAGGAAAACCTCCACGGAACAAGACAATCTCACATTTTACCTGGCCTCTAGTTTTGCCCTGGCTGGGCCGAGGAACATCTACACTACACCCGATCACCAGCTTCTGTGCGTCGAGGAACCTGTTGAGCACATGGCTGATGCACCTGCTGCGGTGCCAGCGAGGGGCTCGGCTAGATCTCTCTTTCCGAATTCAGCTCGTCGGCGGTGCCTGTCTCCAGCTCAACCCCGGCGCACTACTCCTGAACCTTAGTTTCCAAGCCTCATCGGGGCAACGGAAGGCACTGCCGAAAGAAAAAAATGTGACGTCAGGCACCGACGGAAGGCCTCAGAGCAACTGCCCGAAGCGAATGCGCCAACGGGGGGGCACGCGGCGGCAGGGAGCTCCAGAGGCGAAGCCTGCATCCTTTGTTAGATTCCAACTCTGTAAGACTCCATGGCGCGCCGCCCTTGAAGTCGTTCATATAAGTAAGATCCCACTTCAGCAAACACTCCATGGCACTCCGCCCTCGAAGTCGAACAAATCTCTGGCATAGTCATGACTCTATGGCGTGCCACCCAGGATGTCGATATCGCAGCTCCGTCAGGCTCCCCTGGGCCAATCTGCAGCAGGCGCACTCACTAGACCCTGGAGGCGCCGCGCCAACGCTTCCCCAATCGCTCCAAGGTTATGTGGAACGGAAGCCTTATTGGGGAAGCTAACGCCTGCAACACCTACTTACTGGACAGCGCGCTACATCCAGCAGCTCTCAGCACCACACAAAACTCATCTATGGTGACGATGCCCCCCCCTGAGGCTCAACATGGCTGTGGGGAAATCATTCGGGGAGATTTGCTTGATTCGGTGATCCGCGTCCTGCTCGGAGAGCTTCCAGCAGCTGCTTCTCTCGCGGCTCGTCCGCGGTAGCAGCTGTGCGTGCACTGCCAAGTGGTACGTGAGTCTGTTCTTTGCGTCCTTGCCAGGTTTGTCGCACGTTGGCAGGCAGAGCAACTCCACTACCCAATCCGCTGCGCCCTCTGGCGTGCCCTATGAAGTCCTGCTATGCCGTTATCGCCGCCTTCACGATTGGGCCGCTGCGCTGGGCCATGACCGCGCTGAGTGTCTGATGCTCCAGGATTCACGCTCTCGCCTCCAGCTGCACGAGTAGAGTCTTCACGTCCGCTCCTACGCCGTTGCTGTCCTCCTCGTCTGACTCCTCCGTCTCTGCGCCCTCTGCTGCCTGTGCCCCTCCGACTCGCTGTGCCCCCCCTGGCGCTGCCCTTGAGCTGCAGAGAAGCTGGCCCCCCTGGGTCGCACGAGCCGCCCTTTTTTGCCGCCGCCCGTTCCCCTCGGCGACGCCGCTGCCGCGCGGCAACACCCACCTCCAAGAAGACACTCGCACTCTGGAGTCTGCAGCTGCTGCCTGAATACCTGCCGCAACACGAACGTCGCGAGCAGGCCCACTATGGAAAGCGTCGGGTGGTATTTCATGGAGGCGAGGCTGGCAATGCTTGGGCAAATCGCTCGCGGCGCCAGCTTCGGCCAACGCGCGGGGCATGATAAAGATGACGGCGCACTGGGCTCCGACTCGAACCTCCCCCTGCCGCGCGGGCAGCACCCCCGCTGGAAACTGGCCACGGCGCGTCTTTTAACTGAGCTTGCCAACCAAATAACGGCACGGCATGCCGGGCATGCGTTAGTCATGGCAAGTAGGGGCCCACTATGTAGCCCACCATGCGCCGCCCCTTCTGTCGCACACATGCGCGACGTGAGCTGCTGTTTCGCATTCCGACAGGTACCGCGTGCATGTTCTGTCCGCCGTGCGAGCTGTATATTCAAATCCTCGTTCAACGGTGACGCGGCGCTGAGCTGGTTCGCGCGGCGGCGCAGCAAGACGCGCTGATCGGAGCCCGTCGAAGTCGAACTACGAAAAATCATACGGCCCCGAAAGCAGCACGTGGAATATGTTGCGGGCATGCTCGGCGGGAATAAGTGCGACCCCTTATTCGGCCGCGGCGAGATAACCGGCGTCAACTTGAAACTGTCGAGCCCGCAGATGCGCCGCGGAACAACGCCTGCCCCCCGCCTGTCACAATGACCGATGCATCCTGCTTTACTCCGGAAACTACTGCTAAATTCTGCGCGCCCCCCCCCCCCCTTTGCTGAAGCCGTTCTGCGGGGCCACTTCAATCTCCGACAGCCCGGCCCCAGGAAAAGTGGGCCCATCTTCAACTTGCGCAGCGCCTCGCCCCGCGGGGCCCGGGCTGCGCGCCCTGCTTCCGGGGGGGAAACTGCCGCCAATCATCGCCCTGCACTTCTGAAACATGAACCTCTGCACGGCTCGAAGATCCCCTGGCGCAAGCGGCCCGCGAGGTCGAGTCGGCGCGTCAGCTCCGCTGAGCGCGGCTTTCACTGGCAGCCGCTCTCACGAGGCCGATCTCGAGTCGAAACGAAGCCGAGATGCACCGGCACTTGCCGAGGCCGAGGAATGCTGCTCTCTAAGTGCTGCTCCCCGCTTGCTGCTAAGCTATGACCCCGATGTTTAAAAAATGCCTCCTGGAGGCCTCCGAGGCGCCTGGCGCGGCGCCCAGTGGCCCCTTGACTTTCGGCTTCTTTTTTGCGCGTCAACCGGGGTGCTTCTTGGGCTCCAGCGCCTCTCAAGTAACATGCGCCGTCCTGTTTGTCAATGTTCTGTGGCGCCCCAGTTTCAGCCATTCCTTCTGTGACTGCCTCGTTCTGCGCTTCGCCCACGCTCTTCAAGCGCTCGACCACGCCCCCCGCCCCCCCCCCCCCTCCCACGCGCGCGCACCTTGGACAAGACGTCATCTACGGACCCCGCGGCGCACCCCTGCCACATGCCCCCCTCGCCCCAGGGCGCGGACACCTCAGCTGCCAGGTGCCGGCCGCTCGACACTGCCTGATCGCAAATATCCTTCATCAGCGGCTCGCTGAACGCGCGCGCAAACAATAAGGTGGCCCCTTGGACTCCTGGAAACAACCCTTATCCTGGACGCATCCAAAACTGTTCGCCCTGGCCCTGCATCACAAACACCCCTCGGGCGACGCGGTCGACGCAGAACTCCTCGTCGACCTGGCCATCATGAACCCCGCGAGCCACCTGCAGCACCCCCTGGCGATTCAGCGAGAAAAAGCGCTGACCGCATCGCGGCAGCGAAGCAGATGGCCGATGCCAGGGCGATGCGTCTTCCAAGACGAGGCCAGCTGGACCCCCATCGCGCTCTCCCTCCCCATGCCCCGCAGTCCTCCAGATATCCAATCAGCCGGCGCCCACTTACGATACTTGTGCCGCGCGGCGGCCGCACTCGCTGCCCTCTCCAACGCGCGCATCACCATGACGACCCTCTCCCCCGCGCAATCCAACTTGCAATTGCCTCTGGGCACCCCCGCAGCCACTGCTGCGCACTCCTCCCAAGGGCGGGCCCCGCGACGGCCGCGCGCACCAAATCTTGAACCTCAAGGACGTAGGCGCCATGTTGCCCCAATCCCCTGCCACCACGTAGGTGGCCTCCGCCCTCTCGCGCCGCGGCCGTTGTTCACCTTGCACTTCTGCCTGAAATTCTTCCAGCGTGCAGAGTCTAGCTGAGCATCCTCCGTCTTTCGCCTGCAGCTGCCTTCGTATAGCCCAGCGTGTCGCAGTCGCCGATGGTCCTGGCGCCGCTGCGTGCCTCTTCTGTCTAGGGCCGCGACTTTTGCCAGCTATACGACGTGACCATGCGTGAACTTGATACCCACCGCGCGTAGCCAGCGCCTCCTTCAGCTCGAGACAGATTCTCTCGCTGGCTGCCTTCCAATACTTCACTGCGTGTCGTCTCAATCCCTGTCCAAGAATCCGTATCTTGTTGCAGATAACGCCGAGCGCATGGTCGTCCTGATCCTACCGTCGCTGCTGCCTTAAATGACGTCGTTCCAATGATAAGCGTTCTGGGTTCAGCCGCGTTCGCTGTCCGCTCTGGGGTCTCCACTGGGCTGCTGGGGAAAAAGCTGCACTTCGGGTGGATAATCTGTTCAGCCCATCTATGTCCTCATGTGCCACAACATTCTCAACCTCGACATCTGTGTCATGCGCGCCTTGCGCGTTTTCCCAGTGCATCATAAAACTCCAGTCGTGTGTATCCTTCCTGCTCACAACGATACAGCGATTCCCTGTTTGGGCGCTCACCTGGTAAAACAAAAACAACTTCGGTTTGGGCGGCGTGTCTACCATACTTGACAGTTGCATTGGGCGATGATCTCGAGCCGACACCGTGTTGTGTAGCTGCACCCTGCGTTCTGACCTTACCAAAACATGACACTTTTCCACCGCTCTCATCGCCATCCTAGGTATCAGAATGTGAAATATGTATGACGTTCCCCAACATATGCGCCAGGATTGACAAAGTGCGAGTTGGCCCTGGTCAAGTCCCATCCCACCAAAAGAGACCTCAACAGTACTGTTGATGCGGTCGGTGTTTCTTTCGATTGTGCCCCACATAAACATGTCCTGTGCAGGGGAGCCCTCCATTCATGTCTGTACATATGATAGGTGTGGCACTGCGGGATGACAAAAACTGCAGCGTGCTCTCTATCCACGCGGCGACGGCCTCCAGCGTCTTGTCGTGCGCTGCTCTACCGTTCTCCCATGTCTGCCTAGGCGGCACGCGCACAGCAATTAACCCCACTGGGTGGTCTCCGCTGGCAAAAAGAACTGCTGCTGCTCTTCCCCACAGCTGCGGCGGGACAGGAAAGATCCTCCTCAACTGACTCTTCTTGAACCTGCTGCTGCAAAGCATGAAACTCAGTCTGCATGTAGCATGTGTAAACATACCCTTCCCATAACCATGCTCCAGAACACCAATATCCCTCAATGAGCTCGCTTTCCTCCCAATGCTGGCCCGTGCTGCGCTTTTGTGTGCCTACGAGTGCGAAAACATCCTGATTCGGCAGTTCATGTACAGTTCTGTCATTCTAGATATCGAGTCGCACGCGCACGGGTTCTAACATACCACACGTAACAATCTCATCCAACGAACTATCTGCGGGACGAAGGCGACGCCGCCACTGCCCAAGAGAAACCTATCTCCATCGCAGGCCCACGCGTGCTTGGTGTGGCGGAGATCGCTTAGCAGACATGACCTCTGCCAATGTGCATTTCGAGCAGCCAGCTCCTCCCCCGCCTCCTCGTCCTCATTTTCCTTCGTTCCTCCTCCTCCTCGGCTCCCCCGCCGGCCCAGACTGATGTCCGCTCCGAGCTGGCCCCCAGAACAAAGGGGACACCCTGACGCAAGTCTCGGGGCGGATCCAGCCACGGCGACGGGGAGGAGCCTCTGGAAGGCCCCAAGAAGGACAAGAAGCGCCCAGGACGACCGCCGCTGTCGCCATCTTGACCCCCTCCCCGAGAACCGGACTTCCATCCCGAGTCGTGTTCGGACGGACCCGTGCCCAGTGAGGGCCCCGGGGGCCGAAGATTGCCCAAAACCTTCCGCAGAGATTCTTGTTCACGGCACGATTTCAGAGATCCAACGTTTCGATTTGTCCCACGCTTGGTACACAAAAGTCCCGATCCTTTCCTCAGAGCCGCCTTTTCATCCCGAGTTTGTTTGACGGCCATGCGGCCTAGTGAGGGCCCCCGGAACCAAAAACGGCAAACCTTCCGTCGTGATTTCGTTCGCGACAAGCTCATGTCGGAAAGAAGGTCTGGAGCGCATGTATTACTATTTTGCACAGTTGTGTTCTAGAGCACCTCTTTGTTTCTGTTCAGTCCTGAGTGGATCCCCTGCCCCCCCCTGGGCCCTGCCCCCCCCCGTAGGGCTTCGGATTGCTATATTTTCGTCGTCGTCGTCGTCGTCGTCGTCGTCGTCGTCGTCGTCGTCGTGTCGTCGTCGTGTCGTGTCGTGTCGTGTCGTTTCGTTTCGTGTCGTGTCGTGTCGTCGTGGCCTCGTCTTGCCCCCTGGCCTCCCTGGCCTGGCCCCTAGCCTCCGCTGGCCCTGCCCCCCCCCAGGGCTTCGGATTGCTGTGTTTTCGTCGTCATGTCGCGTCGAGTCGTCGTGGCATTCCCTGGCCCCCCTGGCCTCCCAGGCCTCACCTGGCCCCCGGCTTTTCGGGGGCAGCTGGGGCATCTGGGGGGGCCTCCTGGGGACCGTTCGAGGGAGCTTCTGCAGGGCCCCCGGGGGCCACCCCCAATGACCCCCCGGCCCTTTCTTTCCGCTCGCTTGTCGTTCCTTCGTGCTTCCGCTTCCCCCCCCCCGCCCGCCGCTCCAAGCCTGCCTCCCCTCAGGAGAGCCTGCGGAGGGGCCCCCTGGGAAGGCTTCAGGGAGGGTCTCTGGTGGGCTTCCGGGGGGGGGGGGGTCCACGGAGCATCTGGGAGAGCCTCGAGGCGACCGTCCGGGGGAGCGTCTGGGGGGACCTCTCCCCCCCCCCCGACCCCATATTTTCGTTCGCTCGTCGCTCGTTCGTTCGCCGTTCGCTCGCCGTTCGTCCGTCGATCGCTCATCGTTCGTGGTCCCCCCCTCTCCTCAGGGGTGCCTTTGGAGGGGCCTGGGGGGGGGGACAGTCCCTGGGAGCATCTGGGGGGCCTCCCGACTGAGGAGGCCTCTGGGAGGGCTTCAAGGGGGAGGGGGGGGGCCTGGGACCTCGGGACCTCCAAGGAATCGCGGGGGTCTCGGAGGGAAACCTCTGGAGGGGCGCCCCCGGGAGGGCCCTCCGGGGGACCGTCCAGACATGATGGCTCCAAGAGCACTGGCCCCGAGAACCCCGGCCCGCCTCACCCCGCTTCTCCTGGCCCTCGCCCTTCCTCGTGCAAGAGCCCAGGCACGCGTGCCACTTGTTCTTCACGATGACTCCCGTCACCGGCCCCGCCCACCACGCCACCCCCGGTCACGTCACGATTCGCGCTGGAGCCAGCGCGAATTATGACGTTACCAGCCCCCTCCCCCCTGCCCCCGTCACGCCAGTTCTCGCCAGGGAAAACGATGAGGGCACTGGATAAGGAACCCTTCGATAAGGAATCCAAGGTCTGGAAGCTGGTGGAACTCCAATCGTGGACTGGCCATGGATATCACCGCCGCCCTCACTAGATGAGGAACCCCCCAGGGTCTGAAGCCCCCTGGGCACACTTCCTAACGAAGCCGCAACAAAAATCCCACCAGTCCTCTGGGCGTGAGTGGTTTTGTGCTTCCTCGTCATCCCCCCCGTCTTCCACTTCGGGGAGGGGTTTACCTTCCACTTCGGGGAGGGGTTTACCCCTCCCCCTACCCTCTCCACCTGGAGCTGGACGTGGGAGTCGCGACCCATTAGAGCGTCCAAGAAGGCCTCGACGAGAATGCACGAATCATCGATTTGACTGAGATGCTTGCCACATGTTGGCCTCCCGGGGGATGAGACATCCGAAGAGACTCCGAGAGACATCCAAGATGCCGCTGGCCTTTCTGCTCGCCCTCCTCCTCCTCCTCCTCCTCCTCCTCCTCCTCCTCCTCCTCCTCCTCCTCCTCCGCCTCCTCCTCCCCCTCCCCGTATCCCTCCCCGTATCCCTCCTCCTCCTCCTCCTTCACCTCCTCCTCCGATCCCTCCTCCACCCTTTCCCTCTTGGGGTACGGCGGCTTCCCCGCCCCGTTACTCCGCTGCATGCTCCTCCACGTCCTTCATCAGGGCAACTCGCCTGGGCATCGCGAAGCGTCTAGAACTGTCTTCTGGGCCTTCTGGGCCCAGACCCCCGACGCCATGGTTTGGTCATCAGGCCGACCCCCAAATGTCTCCACCCACTCCCCCAGGACCGATGCTTCATCCTGAGCCGTCTTTTCACGGCCCCGAGGCCCGGTGAGGGCCCCCGAAGGCAGAAAGACAGTAACACAAAAAACGCCGCCGGGACTTTTGGGGGGGTGGCTCGAGGGGCGCTGCGGGCCTCGCGAACACGCCGTTCTCGCCGCCGGGGCCCGACCGCCACGCCCTGTTCGGGAGTTGCTTAATGAGGGGACGATGAATAGGGGAGGGGGGGGGGGAAGCGTGCACCCTTCGTGGTGCCCCTTTTGGGCTCCCGGGGGAGTCCCCTGAGGGCCCCCTTAGGGCACAAGAGGTGCATACTTCTTCTCGGAGGCGGCCAGGAGGACAGAATTGGTTGATGAGACCCTAGAAAATCAGTCGGGAGGGGGATGAGGATGAATCAATTAAAAAGCAGTCCCTGGACCCCTCCAGGGGTCCACGTGGTGTAATTTGTCACCCGGATCCGTTTCTGACTGTCCAAGGGCTCGAAAGCAGATCCCAGAGGCCGAAATAGGCAACAAAAAACTCTTCCGAACCCAGAATCTCTAACCCAATTACCCGCCCTCCCTGCTGGCCGGAGCCAGTGCTGAGCCATCTCAGACCCCCAGCCAGCTCCAAGATTCTTGACCCCCCCGCCCCCCTTGTTCGCCCCCCATAACTCAACACCCGACCTGTCGGCCGCGGCGCTGCGCCGGGGTCCGGCCGCCAGCAGCGCCGCCAGGGCGGCGGCCGCGGCCGCGGCCAGAGGGAGGGCGAAGACCGAGGGTCTCGGGGCGCTGCCAGAGGCAGCCAGGGGCTACGCGACGTCGCAGTTCGTGGTTCGAGGTATGAAGGTTGAGGTTGGCTAGGTTCGAGGTTGAGGTTCGAGCAACGATTGAGGTCGAGGTTAGGGTATCGTGGTTGAGGTATCGAGGTTGAGGTTGGGGTATTGAAGGTTCGAGTCGTGCCGACATCGATGTTGGTTTCTGACACCGCGGGGATAGTTCAACCCTAAACGATCGGCCGTTTCCGAAACGTCAGATCGTTCCATCGGCCGATTCTGGGTCGCTGGCGGCGTCCGTCGTTGAACGCCGGCGGCGGGGTCGCTGCTGGTCGAGCCGACGCGAACCTACCCTACCCAACGTTGCGGTTCGAGCTTCGTGGTTCGAGGCATCGAGGTTTGCGGACATCTTCTTCGCTTCTCGGCGGTTTTCCAGCCTCGGGATGCTCCCCAGCAGCTGCGCACAGCCGAGAGCGTTCCGGGGGTGCCCTCATCGTCCCGAACGGATGCCAGAGACCCAAGGTAGGACCCGAAAACCACAGAGGGGTACAGTCGGACTTCATTGGACAGGACACGCGAGAGGACACAAGACCCTTCCGAGGGCCACGTTGCCACAGGAATGTGGGAAGCATGGGTCGCGAGACACAGGACACAAGGGTACCCTTGATCTGGCAGGGTCGACCTACTAATCCGGGCCGACTGTACAGTCGGGGCGTTGACCTGAGGAACCCTAAATCCGCCGACCCCAGAGGCGTGTGCGGGAAAGTGGCCAAGCTTAGCCACACCCCCAACATCTCTCGCCCAACAGCGAGCGATATCCACCTTCGCGCCCTGGCACCCCCACCCCGTCGAGCCGCTGTGGCCCACCCCACCTCGCCCCCCACCTCGCCTCCACCCCCCCTCGACATCCCCAAGCCTCTAGACTCTGTTCTAGGAACCCCCGACCCCACGATTTCTCACCCAAAAACGACCGACACCCCCCACCTCGCCCCCCACCTCGCCTCCACACCCCGCGACATCCCCAAGCTGTTCTAGGAACCCCCGACCCCACGATTTCTCACCCAAAAACGACCGACACCCCCCACCTCGCCCCCCACCTCGCTCCCCCCCCCTCGACATCCCCAAGCCTCTATACTCTGTTC